TACCACGACTCCTAAAAAAAACGTTTTCATTCCGCGTCGCCCCATCAAGCTCTGGCTGGAGCCGCTCCTCTGTTATCAACGAGAGGAACGTCTGTTCTTCCGCAACAGACAACAAAACTTTTTGGTTGTTTAAAAAAAAGGTGTGCTCGTTCAAAACATTTGTGTTCGATCCTTTGCTGGCTGTGCTGATTTAAATCTACCGGTTCTGTTGTGTTTGTGTCACAAGTTCAGTGACGCAACAATGCAGTGGAAAAGCGCCATATGAAGCCATAGAACCAACCAAACATCAAAGGTCCAGCATAGGAGACTGTAATGCAGGAAATTCCCACTTAACCTCGGTCAGGTTGAGAGATGGTGGTTACAGGGGAATAGATAAGGGCAGATGTAAGACCCCCAAAGGAAATGAGTAGATTCAGAGGTATGACGCCCTGTCTGGATCACATCCCTTAGGTATTTTACCTACCTTCTTTTGACCCGCGATTCTTCCTACCCCTACCCGCGGGCGGGGGGGGAGCGCGAGCCGTGACACTACCCTTCTGTGGCCGTCGCTGATCCTCAAACCAAGACGGGCCAGGATCCCTGGGTTGTTCAGGCTCAGACCTGGACCTTCGTGAATGCCGCTGAGCACACCTTTGCCTCCCTGAACTTCTCGACCACCGTCTCAACGAAGGTACTGTGACGAGCGTCCTGAGCTCACATCAACGTTGCCCTGGAAATGGACGAGGAACACCTGCATGTGCTCATCATGGGCTGATCGGTCACAGCTGAGAGTCATCAGCCCGCGGCCAGATAAGCCGCGTGAGGCCCGACAGTCGGGAGGGAGATACTCTCCCTGAAGCTAAGATCTAACGTGTTCTCTCCTTTACATTCCACAAACCAGCACGTGACCAATCAGCTTGAACACGAGCGCCACACGGACTCGCCGCCACTGGAACTCACTCACAGAGAAGCACCAACTCACCTCAGCACCCACCTCCCTCACTTGGACACTTGATTTGTGAATAAATCCACCCTCCGAAGTATTTATTTGATCTCTCCTTGTCGTGTGTTCCTTCCACCCCGTTACAGTACCAAAAATACAGAAGGCGAAACTGACGCATCGAGAAGAAAGCCCCTCTTTTTTCCCAATATCTGCTAGGTTCACCCACAGATGTCCCTCCGTCACTACCATAGCCACCATGGACCTACTGCTAGCAGAAGCAGCCGGCTTAGTAGCACGGAGAGCGAGATCCGTGGTGCGGCGCACTCAGCTACCTCTTCAGGAGAAAGGCCCTTACCTTTATCCAGGTCTTTCAGCAGGTCAGCTTGATATGCTTGGAGCATCACCATCGTGTACAATGAAGCGACAGCCCGACCTGCTGCTGCTGCGTATGCCCTGGCATCAGACGATGTTAATGAAATAACATCATCCTCCAGCGGCTCACTCTCGTCCACAGCCGACGATTGCGAGTGGGAAAACCCCTCTTCAAACTCATCGGCCAGATCCACCTGCGATCCCCATGAGCTCATTCTCCTCCGTGCCTCAGCAGCGGCGGGTCCTGAATCGCGGGAAGCAGATGGCTGCCCCTCTTTCCTCGAAAAGAGAGACAAACGAGAGCGGAGCTTTTTCATTGGAAAAATGCTCGCAGTGCACGCCGATTGCCCCCTCGGAGACATCGCGTGCGTGCTCTTCGCCCCAAATAAATAACGCATAGATCATGTGTGTCATCAGATGCTAAACAACGACAACATGGATGCACACATCCTCTAAACGCTTTGCTAGTGCTCGCCATAATGATATGAATTGAGATCGCTCTTACCACAGAAATGCACACTTCAAACAAAACGGATGATGTGTTCTCCTGGTGCCTATTTATTCTATAATCGCACCGGTAGTGACATCATGGCTGTCGTCCACCAATGTGTTTTTGGTGTTTTTTTCAAATGTATGCTTCAGACACAGGTCACGACGAGGTGTTACCCATAGCGACCCCTAGAGGACGCAGTTTGAAGTTCCCATGAAAAGGAACCAACATTACTGACATACTTTGTCCCTTAACTCAATTTCTTGTGTATGGCTGACGCTTCGCTTTAGTTACGCGAAATCTTTTTATATTTCTCTGTATTTGTTCTTCCGTTATCTCAGTTGACACTCCTGATATTACTCCATGATTTTCCCTCTTTCTTCCCATATCTGCGGCTTAATATCCTTCCCAAGCAATGTTTTACACCTAATTAACCTTTGTTGCTGATCTCTCTCTGCAGAAAATTAATAAATTCCTATCTCTTAAAGTTTTGACAAGGCGTACCTCACCTATTAGCTTATGAACGGCTTCATTGACCTTTAATGGATTCATTGTGCAAAGTGATTGGAATCAAACTTTTATTTATTTTTCTATCTCACTTCTGTCTTCATCAGATTCTCACTCTTTCCTCTTCTTTTTCTTTCGATTCACCTGCATCCATTCCTCAGTATTTGTATTTCCCTAGCTAACATTACTCCAATCATCAAGCTCCTCCATCTCGTCTACATCGATCTCACTTCCTGGATTCATCTCCCTTTCTGCTAATCTCGGATCACACCTCAGTCCTCCTGGATCCACCATGCAAGCCTCTTCCCATCCCCGCAACACTGACGCCTTCACTTCCAGGTCAAGAAACTGTCAATCAAAAACTCAGTAGCCAATGAGAACACAACACTGCTAGCCCTGCCCCCATGAGAGATTTGTGCTAGAATGGCAAATGAAAACTTCAGGGGCGTAAACGAAAACTTCAGAAGCGTAAATTAAAACTCTGGAAGCGCATTTGTACAGATCAGCGAAAGAAAGAAGAAAACAGCAAAACATACAGTGCATTAAAAAAAATCCCTGGATCCGAGCAATGCCAGGCATATCACCGGAACTGGAAAACCAACACCTATGAGGAAAAATCCCCAGGTCGGAAATGTCAGTGCATTTTCAATCTACCAGGGCTTTTAATGACAGAACATGAAACATTTCCTTATGGCAATTGTGCAGAGACAGAGTGCTTGAGCAAATTCCTGTTTAATGATCAGTCTGTGCGAGAAAGAGCAGTGATCAATAATTATACAAAAAACACTATGAGGCAGTCAAGAGAGAGTACCAGAATACAGTTGAGAGAGATGCTTGCTTTAAAACCTGCTTTCAGCAACTCGATGAATAATGAAGACCTTCCCTTGTTTAATGAATAATGAAGACCTTCCCCATGACTAAGCACACTAAAGAGAATGATCCACATTTCTTGCATTGTATTCTTGTAGAAGGTTTAGTCACAATTTTATTTTTATGGATTAAATGACTGAGTCATAGAGTTTGGGTATAAAATGATCAGAGCTGGAACCGGCTCTAACTGGTTTGTCCACTGTAGTCTTGACAACATGTTTACCATTACTACTCATTTGCCTTGAATATAAATGTGGACACACCTTGTTTTGTAGTTCTAGTTTTCTATTCTTTTTGGCTCAAGTTGTGAAATAATGTATGTGTATATTTTCCATTGTACAAATAATGTTTTTATTATATTTTATTATTATTTTTTATATTTTTTTTTATTATACATAAATATTTTTATTTATGAAATAATTATGTATATATAAACATTCATAACTCCCTAAATACTATACAGAAAGCTTTTATTTTTACAATTTGTCTGAAATAAAGTTGATTCTTTAAAACAGCTAAAATAAAATACAATTCTTGGACATACAAGCCAATAAAATTAATCAAATTTGCCATGTTTTTCTGCAATTAAACATATTTTGGAGTTAGTAAATAAATCAGCACTGTTCAAAATATATAAAAAAAAGCGTCCATGTGTTATCACTGAATGCGCACAAATAAAGAGGGCGGAGTTGAAAGAGTGCAGCTGAAACTTTTGAAACACATACTTCCTTGTGTTAGTCATTTCTGCAAGATGATGACTGCGAGTAGAGTAAGAAGGTAAGACGCTGATTTTATTATTATTATTATTATTTTAACAACTAATTATGTTTTATTTAATCTTTAAAAATGAAACATGCATGACATAGCAATGATATAAAATACAGTCTAGGAGTCCATCACATAATAATTATGATAATGATGATAATAATAATATATTATAATTTTCCTCAACCAGAAAAATGCCACCTGGGTTGGTGAATATCCGCGAGTGTGACAAGGAGAACTTGAAATCCTGTGGGCTCCAGTTAATTTCTCATGTCATGAAAGAATTTAAAAAAGAGCAAAACAAACTAAGAGCTCATGTGAATGAGGTATGTCACACACACGGGGCGTCGCTCATGGGGGGGAAAAAGTGACAAAGTGCACAGGGCCCAGAGGTTTTAAATTACTGAGCATGAGAAATGAGGACATTGAAGGTTCTGTAGTGATGCTGCTGAAAACAGCCACGAACATGTGAACTGCATGATGAGGTAAACTGGAAAATGGCAATAGCCTACATAATTACAAGCTTCCATCATTTAACTTGCAGTTATTAACACTGTACAAATAGCCTAAGGTGTTTTGTCAGAAATGTATTTATTATAAATTTTACTGTTATTACTTATATTAAATATTGGAGACTTTTATAGAAGTTGTTTTTGTAGTTTCTACATGTTTAGTTTTTTTTTATTATTACAAATGCCATTGTTTATTATTAGTTATTGTTTATTTTTAAAAAACATATTTCCTAACCATGGTAATGAGGACCATGGTTTTACTTGTTGTGACCACCATCTTACTAATACTTAAACTCTGGAATCTATGCAAGAGCTATTGTAAATGTCATTAGGGCAAAGAATAATTTAACAGAATTTCTTTAGTAGCTTCTTTCTCTTTAAATGTTTAGTTCCAATTAATTTTAATTGAAGTAAAATGTTAATTCAGCAAGAGCCTGATTAAAGATAAATATCAGTGTCTTATATAAATGAGGTGTTTACTATTTACAAATGTTAAAGTTCTTAAACGGACAGTTCACCCAAAAATGAACATTGTCATCATTTACTCAACATCATGTCATTCCAAACCTGTGATTTTCTTCTTCTTCTGTGGAACATAAAAGATGATAATTTGAGAAATTCAAGAAATCTTTGTCCATAAAGCAGAAATCAATGGTAACCAAAATGGTGTGGTAACATTCTACAAAATATCTTTTGTGTTGCACAGAAGAAAGTAAGTCACAGGTTTGGAACTACATGAGGCTGAGGAAAGGAAGACAGCATTTAATAGCAGTATATTTTCTGCATTCTAGCCCAAAATCAATGCTTTACTGTCAAGTGCATTTCTATCTGACAAAAATGCATTATTAAGCTTCATAGCAAATTTAGTACACAGGGCCCAGAATTCCTACCTTACACATACAAATACTATATATTTGCCAAGTAGCAATAGATCATTTCTTATGTGGCAAAAACACTTTCTAAGTTTATAATATTGTCTAATAATTAATCTTGGCTTTGTATCTTTGTCTTCTTTTCAAGATTCTCCACAGCATCTTCTTTTTAGGGACCATTCATAAGGACAGTCTCACTCCCGAAGACATTATACCTGAAAAGATTGCTGAGATTAGACAGGAATTTCCAGAACCATTTAAGAAATACAAGAGTCATCTACCTAAGCGGACACCTTTCTCAATACTGTTAGACATAGTAAGAATCATATTAGGTTATGCTTTTTTTGTTTTTGTGAATTTTTTTGTGAATTATAAGTATTTTTATTTATCAAATATGTCCTCAAAAAGTAAAATTTACTGCAGCAATCATGAATAAATATATTGCAAATACATTTTTACTTGTGTAAATAGTATTCTTATTTTACTGTTTTTAGATGCAGCTTACATATGACACAAAAGACAAAGTACTGAAGGAGCTTTGCATTCTCATGGACAAGCTGAAATTCCCTTATCCTCTGGACAGACCAGCAAACAAAAACCAGCGCTACTACACACTGGAGTCCACCGTCATTTGCGTGTGCTCGAATAGCCAACGCACATCAGATGAATATTTTGGTGCTTCTCTGGGTTGCAGGACAGGAGAGGCCAAAAGAATTATGATATATTCATCGTGTATAAATACATGGCACGAGCATGTGTCATATGCAGTAATGTCATTCAAACATCAGCCAGAGGGTGACAGCTTGCAATTTCATGAGTCTCTGCGATGCCAGGCATACTTCAGGGATTGGAAAGACAACACTTACAAGAAAAGACAGCCATGCATGAACTGTAAACGGCTTTTCAGTCTGTCAGCAGGTACAGAACAGGAAGATTATCCTTATGGCAATTGTGCAGAGACCGAGTGCTTGAGCAAACTCCTGTTCAATGATCAGTTCATGCGAGAGAATATCAAAATCAGTCATTTTACTCCTGACAAAATGAAAATGTTAAAAGACTGTACCAGGGAACACTTGCGAAAACTGCTTGCTTCGATACCTTCTCTCAGCAATATGAATAACGATGACCTTCCATGTTTTTAACCCGCTCTCTTAAATATTAAGTCACCAGCTAGAGCAAAAAGGGTTTCACAGACTGATTCCATCTTTTCCACAAATAACTTTTTATTGTCTAGCTCTAAAGCCCTATATAACAACTCAAGTCCCACATAGTGAAAAAGGTTTGTATGTGGATTTGTTGCTGATCCTCTACCTACAAAAACTTTTTTTGGTCACACTTTACAATAAGGTCTCATTTGTTACCATTAGTTAAACCAGTGCTCAAAGTGGGCCGGTGTTCCGGTGAATTCAGTTCCCGTTTCCCCTTCGGCGCGCATGTGTGAAATCACGACCACATCAGAAACACCCACTTTTGCTATGCAGAGACCTCGTGTTGCCAGACGTACAATAATTATCGTATCTGTACGATAATTTTGACCTCTGTACGATGTACAATCAACAATGGAAAAAAATCCCATAATGTACGATAATTTCAGAATTTCTGAACTTGTTTTTTCCAAAGTCAACCTCATCAAAACAAAGCCACAACATCGGCTCATTACAGACACTCTGAATGGGTTTAAACTGGTAAAGTCCTGGAAAGTCCAAGGATTCAAAAAGTAACCGAATGAGTTCAGACAGAAATAAGTTCAAAACAGTGCTAATGCAGAGAAAACACGGTCGATTTCATCAGAGATGGCGGAGAGAATAGTGACTTACGTTCAGATGGCACAGAATTATTCTTTACAGCGTGTATTTGGCTTAAAAGCAAGAGTGTTTTGTACTGGATGCTGGCTGAAGGTGTTTTATATTATGCGGTGGTCAGAGGTTTAGTGATTCTGAATGGATCCATACAGTTACAGTCAGGTCAAGGCAGGCGCTTTAGTGGTCTTTGGCGTCACCCTGTGGTCCTGTTTGGTATTGCAGCTTCACTTGTGCTATTTTTGATTAAAAGTGCTCTAAACCAGTGGTTTTCAAACCTGTCCTGGAGTTAAACCATTAACTAGCATGAACTAACAATAAATAATATAGTTTTTACAGCATTTATTAACTTTTGTCCGATTTCATCAGAGATGGCGGAGAGAATAGTGACTTACGTTCAGATGGCACAGAATTATTCTTTACAGCGTGTATTTGGCTTAAAAGCAAGAGTGTTTTGTACTGGATGCTGGCTGAAGGTGTTTTATATTTTGCGGTGGTCAGAGGTTTAGTGATTCTGAATGGATCCATACAGTTACAGTCAGGTCAAGGCAGGCGCTTTAGTGGTCTTTGGCGTCACCCTGTGGTCCTGTTTGGTATTGCAGCTTCACTTGTGCTATTTTTGATTAAAAGTGCTCTAAACCAGTGGTTTTCAAACCTGTCCTGGAGTTAAACCATTAACTAGCATGAACTAACAATAAATAATATAGTTTTTACAGCATTTATTAACTTTTGTTAATGTTGTTAATTATAATGCCAGTTCACAGTGCATCAATTAATGTTAACAAATACAACTTTTGATCTTAAAAATGTATTATAAATGATTGAGATTAACTATTAATAAATGCTATAGAAGTTTGTTAATTGTTAGTTCATGTTAACTAATATTGACAAATGAAACCTTATTGTAGAGTGTCTCCCTTTTTAATTATTTAAGTGCATTATTAATAAAGGTATGTATAAGTTTTGTTATTTCAAAACATCACATGGACTTGAATGTTGCCATTGTATCTAAAACAGTGCAGTATATCACTGTGTCATTTTGTTATAATCATCTACTGTGAGTGAACAAGTTTCACTGGTAGAGCAAGGTTCAGTCAGAATTCCCACCTTCCTCATTGATTGTATGAATATGGGGTTATAAAATGTGTTCCGTGTATTCATGTAGTTCAAACATGTTCTAACTGGTTTGGTACGTGGTGTGCATTTTCATCTTGACACAGAGCACAGCACAAGACACACCTTGTTTAATGGCTAAACCTGAATGCCTTTCCATGTCTTTTTCACTCATGCAATGATCACTGGATATTCTAAGCTGTTCTTTGCAATTGTTGAAATAAATAATGTTATTGCAAACAAAAGAGAATATTTGTATTTAGTTTATATATATA